CGACTAAGAAGGCAGAAGTTAGAGGATCACAGTCTATGACTGACTGGAGAAAAACACAAGACCCTATCTGAAAAACAAACTAAAGCAAAAACATTTGTTGGAGAGTGGCTCAAGTGGTAGAGCATGCTACCCTAAGTTCAAACCTGCTTCACAGAAGAAGGAAGGGTAGAAATTACCTACCTAATATGCAGATAGGAATAGAGTTAATAAAACCATAGATATTTGCAAGAAACCCTATTAAATTTAACCAGGTTCTTTCTATGGAATTATATAGTAAAGTACTCCAGATAATCTCAATGTGGTATCTTCAAAAGTATTTGACTTTGCTCAAATGTTGACATGTGATCTCACTACCTAATATCATTTTCTTCCCTAAAGACATGAATGGAAACAACCAGACTAGGTCACAGAATCCCTCCTTCTTGGACTCTCTGGAAAGGAAGAGCAGAAAGAGGTTCTCTTTAGGGTGTTCTTAGGGATCTATCTGGTCACCATCATTGGGAACCTTCTCATCATTTTGGCCATCTGCAGTGACCTTCATCTCTACATATGCATGCGTGTCCTCCTGGCCAACCCCTCCAGTGCCGACATTTGCTTCTCCTCGGTCACTGTCCCCAAGATACTGGTCAATCACTGTGAGCAGCAAATCCATCTCTTACATGGAGTATATGACCCAGATCTACTTCTTTATCACTTTTATCAACATGGACAGGTTTCTCCTGACTGTAATGGTCTAGGATGGCTGCATAGACATTTTTTGTCCACTCCACCACATTGCAATCATGAAGCCCAGACTCTGTGTCCTTCTCATGACCATACTATGGATCATCACAAATCTGCATGCTCTCTTATATCTGTCTCCTACTTCAATTTACTTTTTGTTCCCACTATTCTGTGCAACACATCTTCTATGACTCCTTCCCTATTCTAAAGCTTTCTTGTTCTGACACTTTATCAGTGATCTGATGGTCTTCACTGAAGTGGGCTGATATTTCTGATACCACTTACAAGCATCATCATATCCCATACGTACATCTTTTCTAATGTACTGAAGGTGCCATCTGTCCCTGAGATACGGAAAGCCCTGTCCACATGTGGGTCTCACCTTGCTGTGGTCTCCCTATTTCCCTGTCCATCTAATGTGCCCATTATCCTACTATTCAGTACAGGACACAGTGGGTGGCCACTGTCAGCTTCACATTAGGGATACCCCTGGAATCCTTTCATTACAGCTTGAGGATTCAGGACAAGCAATGTGTCGTAAGGAAGGTAATTCTCAGATCTTCAAAGTCTACAGTTAAGAGTGCTCAAGTATTTGGTGACAGTCAAGTGCCACCGTGTCTGGCTTTCTACTGCTCGAGATAAGGTCTCTTAAACTTTTCTTCCCAGGTGGCCACAAATTGATCTTCCTGATTTCTGCCTCCTGAGTAGCTGGGATTACTGCCATTGGCCACCACACGTTTTCTTCCTTTTATATTTGGGACTAACACGTGCTTATTGTCCCATAACCAGCAATTTGTTGCCCATAAACAGAAGATTCTAACATACTCACTATAGAGACAACAACTGAGGATCAGACCTATGCACATATACACTGTCTTTACAAGGGCCTACCAACTCCCTAGGAAAGAGGCCATGACAGTAATATGGGATTTTCAGGGGGATCTGTATCTGCCATTCCTCAGATTCACCCGCACCCATGATCTCAGATAAGGAAGTGCTACAGTGTTCATGGTGACAGACACACATTCTCCTGCCTTGGGACACAAACCAGTAGTTGTGGGGTTCAGAAAGGTCCTTACCCACTCTAAGGGTTATTATTCACTGCCATGTCAGGTCATTCTGCCTTTATCCCAGGCTTAAGTCACCCTCTACATCACACAGCTTGCTCAAAACACTTCCCATTGCATGCCCATTGTGCCCAACTAACCTTCTGGTGTTTTGTTTCTAAGTATGGGTACCGGTCAGGAATTGGGAACTGGATTCTTTGGATGGTAGCTGTTCTTCACAGGGATCATTGGCATCCCTTCAATTTCACCTAGGCTGCAGGAAGCAGAGATTCCCTTAAATTTAAGTGATAAGAGTTGCTCTAAAACCTTAGCAACATGTGGTCATAATTAATGGCAGGATTGTAATTGGAACCCATGACTTCTAATCTCAGCCCTGAGTCTATTTCACTCTAGAGGGCTGAATGTCCAGGATGCCAAGCCTCTTTTCTGTTCCACATATGGAGTGTAAGTGTCAATAAATCATATCTCACCTACTCTGTCCTGACACCCAGACAGTGCTCATCTGGATCTCCTGTGGTCAGTCTAAGTATCCCTTACTTTACTGTCCTTCTTGCCTGGTACTGCTCTCCTTTCTCAATCTCCTCCACGTTTCTGTGTGATAGGTCCTCAATGTCCACCCCATCAACTCCTTCCTGTCTTTATCTGGCTACTTGTCAGTTCTGACCTCCATTCCAGCTTCAGTATAATAAGAAGCCAAGATATTCCCAAATATTCTTCCCTTCAAGAAGAGAGCCTAAAACAATGTGTTAGTGCCTGATGGATACAGAGACGCAATGTTATTGCAGCCGTTGTGATGATTTCAGAGGGCTGACATACAGAGCTCACTGTCAAAGCCTGGAATGGGGTAGGAGGAGAGTGACAGAGTGGAGAAAAGTCTTTCCAGGACATGCCATGGTTACTGTGTTAGTCATGTGCTCATTGCCGTGACAACACCTGAGAGAAACAACTTAAGGGCGGGAAGATTTATTTTGGTGCACAGTTCAGGCCATCATGGCACAAAGGGCATGGCAGAGCACAGCAGCTCACTTCATGGTGGCCAAGAACCAAAAAACGGGACTGCCTGTTCCTTCCCCATTTAATTCCATCTGGGTTCCCAGCCTTTGGGATGGTACTGCCATCATGCATGGTGGGACTTCCACTGTAGTGAATCCTCTCTGCAAACACCCTCCTGGACACATCCACAGGTGGATTTATTGCTAGACAGACTTTTAGGATAACCTAAGTCCTACAGTATAAAAGAGACACAAATGTTAAAGAGGTTTCTGCTGGTGTGTCAACACATGTCTGTAATCCCACCTTCTTATGAGGCAAAGGAAGGAGGACCTCAAGTTCAAGACCAGCCTGGGGAAAGTTAGTAAGACCCTATCTCAGAACAAAATACAAACAAAGGCGCTGGAGGCTAGGTCAAGTGGCAGGGTGCTTTCCCATCATGCAGTAGGCCCTGAGTTCAATCCACAGAGCTGAAAAAAAGAAGTCTGTTCATTCCTCTACCCACCTCCTTCCTCATCTGGTAAAGTTGGGTGGAGTGGGTTGACTCTCAGAGCAGGCAAAGGACCCCATTATGGCAACTGCAGGCCAGGAGAAGGAAAAGCTGGAAATTTCTAGATTGTATCCTTAAAGCTGTTGCTCAGACCAAGGCTGAGCATACTGCCAGTAAGTTTCTGAGCAACATGATCCATGCTACTCTGTCAGGAAGGTTATCATGGCATCTTAGTCTCATTTTATTCCACAAATGGGTAAAGCTCAGCCAATATCAGAATCAGAACAAATCATATGCATGTGACTTCCTAATTCTGTGACTAGAACAGCATGGGAGATTTTTATCACAAAATTACCAAGCTCTGGTCAACAGAGACACTGACACCTACCTAAGTGCAGCATCAGATTTAATGATAATGTCTGTCAAAGTACTGGCATCAAGGACTGGATGGAGGCCAGGAAGGTGGGTTCTTGTCTCAACAAAGAACAAGGGGATTAAGAATCTTAATTTTCGATACTCAGACTGAGGCTAACCTAGACGCTGTCCATATCTTGGCACTGCCTACCCCATCAGGTATGAGTTAATTCTCCAAACTCCTTTGTCACCCAATCAACTCCAAATACACATATTCAGAGTAATCAGAGGATATGTTAGGTCTGTTCCAAATTAGGATGCATGTCTTTTCACCTCTTTCCTACTCCTTTGATGAGAATACAATCAAGGGAGAGAATATTTAGAAAAGAAAAACAAAAGAGAATGCAGATCAACAGAGACCCCATCCCAACAGAGACCTAAACTATCCTCAAAGTTCCCAACAGAAAAACCCATCTCCTTAACTTCCAATAAGAACACAGTCCCCTTTTTTCTTCTTTAGCACCTAGGGAAGCTGATTCATTTGTTATCTGCAGGACACAGACACACTCCCATGTGAACTGCCTGTAATAAGGAGCTGTAGGGGTTCTATCTACAGTGGGAACAATAAAATGCCCACATACATGAAAGGAGACTAGGATCGTGCCCACTGGTTAAGAAGACAGATGGTGCTGCCCACGACCCCAGACCAATACATCTGTCACCATGTTATCCTTTCCCAAACTTTTCAATGTTTGCCCTAATTACTGATAAGGTGATCACACTTCTGTCTTACAAAGCACACGGTACAGATGCAGAAGATAAGTCAGATAATGCACGAGAAAAATCCTTACACATGTTAATCAATTAAGCACCTTTAGTTATTATTCAGTCAATGCCTGAGAGTAACACCTCACCAATTAACCTGATAAGAAACAGGAAAAACATGGCAGCAACTGGTACAGTGGCTCTGTCACAGCCAACCTCATGCAAAAAAATGAAGATCCTATGTCTCCTAACTTCCAAAGCAGGACCAAGATTTCCACACAGTGACTTGGGTCACCCCACAGTCTTCCCCATTCCATGGAGTTTTTCAACAGGGTGCAAAGGAAGCAGGCTGCTTTGGGGATGGGTGGGTGCCCATCTCTGAGGGACTGTATGGACGAGATGCCATAGTAAAGAGGATCAACAATTTCTAAGGAGGATAAACTCAAAGAGACCCATATGGGGATATACACCAGCAAAATTACTAAAAACCAAACACAAAAAGGAAATGTTGAAGGCAGCAAAACAGAAGCAACTCATTCTATACAAGGTCCATCAGTAGAATTAACGGTTGACTTCTCATCAGATACCATGCAGGCTAAAAGGCAGTGCAATAGTATATTTTAAGTGCTGGGGGAAAGCCATCTGCCATGTAGGAATTCTATATATGGCAAAATTAACCTTCAAGAGTGACCAAGAGGAACTGGGGATGTAGCTCAGTGGCAGAGTGTCTGTCTAGCATGTGTGAATTCCTGGATTTGATACCCAGCACTGTCAAAAATGAAGAAGAAATTACTACATTTCCAAAAAAAGATAATCTTAGGGAGTTCATCACTAGTACACTTACCCTGTAATAGATGATAAAGGAAATCCCATCACTCTGAAATGAAAGGAATAGACAGTAACTAAGTTTACAGGAAGCGATACAGAACAGTAAAGGCAACTACATAGGAACAGATAAGTAAGTATTAAAATATATTGGCTTATTACTCCTCGTTTTCCTATGTAATTTAAAAGATGACTACATAAAACAAGTATAAGACTAGGTTAATGGACATTCAATATATAAAGCTGTAATTAGTGACTCTAACAGCATAAAATGAGGGGTACAACTATATAGAAGCAATTGCAATACTATTAAAAATAAGGTGGTATTAAATAGGACTGTATTATTATAAATTAAAATGTTTATTGTGATTCAACAGCCAATAACTAAGAAAATAAAATGTGCAAGGTAAAAAAAAAAAAGTGAAAATGGAATAAAACTGATACACCAGAAAATAACACAAAAGAAGGTAGTAATAGATGTAATTAAGGAAAAATATGAGACATAAAAACAAATAGCTACATGGAAAAATTATATCCTTCCTTTTCTACTTTTTTGGACCGAACTGGGTTTTTGAACTAAGGTCCTCATGCTTGCTCTCCAGGTGCTCTACCACTTGAGCCACACTGCCCAGACCTTTTTTCCTTTATTTTTCAGATACGGTCTTGGGGTTTTGCCCAGGCCAGCCGTGGACCATATTTCTACGTACACCTCCCATGCAGCTGGGATTACGGGTAAAAAACAACACCCCCAACTTGTTTATGATTGTGGGGTCTTGCTAACGTTGTGCCTGGGCTGACCTGGAACCACAGTCATCCCATTCTCCATCTCCTGAGTACCTATGATGATAGGCACACACTGACATGCCCAGTTACAATGATTCCCTTTAAAGTAAAGCAATTAACTCAGGTACACTGACACACTCTGCACTCCCAGCTACTTGAGAGGCTGAGGTGGGAGGATCACCCGATCTCACCATTTTGAAACAAGCCTTAACAACAAGGTGAGAACTTGTCTAAAAAGAAAGAAAGTATACTGATGGAATTCTCCTGTAAAAAGGCAGATATTAGGACATTAGAAAAAAGTATGACCTGTCTATGCAGTATAAGAATCTTCCTTTGAAGTTGAAAGGATGGAAACAGGTATTTCATGCAAATAGTAACTAACAGGGAGAAGTGGGTACATTACTGTCAGAAAAATATGCCTTAAGTCAAAAAAAGATGAAAAACAAGGATGTTAATTATTTACAAAAGGTTCAAGGCAGAAAGAAAGTATAAAAACTATAAATGTACACACAACTAACAATAGACTACCAAAATATATGAAGCAAAATTTGAGAAACTGAAATGAGAAATAGGCATTTTTAATGATAATCGTTGGAGACATCAACACATCACTTTCAGTGATGGATAAAACAATCAGATAGATTAATAAGGAAAGAGAGGAGTTAACAATATTATATGGCAATTAGATCTATGCACTCTACAGAACACTGCACCCAACAGCAGCAGAATGCACATCCTCAAGTGAACGTTGGACATTTGCCAGGATAGACAATATAGGCAGCCAAAGATTACCTCTGATCACTTGAATAAAGACAGAAAAATCTTTGAGGTTTGGCTCAAGAGGTAGACGCCTGCTTAGAAAGAATGAAGCCCTGAATTCAAACCACAGTACTACCAAAAGAAAAAAAAAACAAGAAAAGATAAACAATCATTTGAGGTATCTTTTCTCATCATAAAATGAAGACTCAGAAGGAAAAATTAATAATATATGATTAATATATTGCAGAGTCTAAGTGTGCAAGGGCAGTCTGGGAGGTTGCCAAGAGAGGGAAGAAAATGCTCTCAGAGACAAGATTTATTGAAAATTAGTAACGGGGAAGCTCCCAGGGGAAAAGGTGGACCAGCCCTGACCTCCATAGCACTCATGAGGTCCAGCGGAAAACACAGGCTGGACAAGTAGCGACTTTGTCCTTTGTGCTGCCTCACCAGTGATGCCAGTAACTATACCTTCACCACCACATTACCTTGAAGTGCAGTGGTGGTCAGCAGGACCCAGAGCACTTGTCCTCTCCCCTGTGCTCCTTTATGACCCCAAATTACTACAGGGAGAGGGGTTAAGGGTTAGACCACACAGTCGTGACACATCAGCTCAGCCTGCTCTGTGCTTGTGTGACCAGCACTCCCAGGAATGGCTGAATTACAAGGTGAACAGGAAGCAGAACTCTTCTAGATAACACTAGTTTGCCCTCACTCTCATGTGCACGACAGGGAGTCAGTGGCCCTCCAGGTGGCCTTATCCCAGCGTGTCACTCTTGGCCCACTGTCACTGTCCCCTCCACTTGGCAGGAGTCTCAGGAATGGAAAAGGGGTGTTTCAGGGAAAGTTACTAGATGCCAGCACTCTGTTTTTCTCAGGTATTATAGAACAGCACATTCTTAAACAGCCAAAGGACTCAAGAAGAAATCACAAAGGGTATTAGAAAATCTCTGCTGATGAATGAAAATGAAAAGGAACTTACCAGAAGTTGTCATGGTAACTTCTAGGCCAGAGCTGCAGATGTAAGTGTCCTTCTGAGCTTGGTATCACACGAGGAGCCTTCATTCATCAACACATGAACATTTTGTCTGGTGAGATTCTGCTGTTAGCCTTTTGGGGTAGCAGAAGGGAAAGATGAAAATCAAAAAATGTTGGCAATTTCTTTAGATCCTTGGTGGTACTGGGGATTGAACTCAGGGCCTCACACTTGCTGAGCAGCTGCTCTACTATTTTAATCACACCCCGGCTCCTGCTGTCAGCCTTTTGAAGGTCAATTTGACATGGCTTGGAGTGCAGTTGAAGGTCAAGGCAAGACCTGTGCTGACTGCCTACATGGACTGTTAATGATCAGAACAGCAAAACGTGAGGAATTCATGCAAACAGGAATCAAGACAACGTCTGTCACTGAGAAAGAGTTGGGTCACCACATGAAAGTACTTGTTTTTTAAACAATGAAAACACTGAAGAAAAAGAAGGTGGAGGCCATAAAGTCGTCCATGCTGTGGACCAGGAACGAGACAGAGATGCCACTCACCCCACTTCTCTTCAACACACTATTAAAAGTTCACACAAAAGCAAAGAAACTAGTCAATAGAAAGAAATAGAAACATCCAAAATGCAAAGGAAGAAGTAAACTGATCTCTGATCACACAATGTCCTAAAGATTCCACACACAAAAATTACAGTTTGAGTAATATTTTATCGCCAAGGTTGCATGATACAAAATCAACACACTATTAAAAGTTCACACAAAAGCAAAGAAACTAGTCAATAGAAAGAAATAGAAACATCCAAAATGCAAAGGAAGAAGTAAACTGATCTCTGATCACACAATGTCCTAAAGATTCCACACACAAAAATTACAGTTTGAGTAATATTTTATCGCCAAGGTTGCATGATACAAAATCAACACACAAAAACTAGTCACAGTAGGCTCTGGGGTGCACACCTGTCATCCCAGCTACTTCGGGTGATTACATTGGGAGGAACGCCAGGGTAAACACTTCCTCAGAACCAGAGCAAGATGCAGTGCAGCTTGCCTTCCCCAATAGAGCACTTGCTTTACCAGTGAAGCCCTGACTTGAAACCCCAGTTCCACAAAAAAAAAAAAAAAACAAGAAAGAAAACAAACTTACCAATGAGTTGTTTTGTGGTACATCTTTGCAACATATCTCCATGGGGAATCTAGATAAAGGATATACAGGATCTTCTGATTATTTCTATAACTGCATGTGTACCAACAAAATCTTTCTTCTTGTCTGTAAAAGAATTTGTTCTTGGATTGCTTATTAGCTCCATTCTTCTGATAACCTACAAAGAAAATATGTCAACTGAGCTCTTAAGCAACCTTATCTACGATTCTGATTGCTTTGCTAACCTTCAAAAAGATTCAACAGCTGCAATACTAGTCAACCTTGTTCATGATAAAAAGACTCCTGATAGGTAAGTTGTACCTGTCCAGGTACATCATGGGATGAAGGGACACTGGAAACTGAACTATGCTCTTAGGCTATTTAAGAGACACTGGCTCTGGTAGGACTCAGGGCTCCAAAGCCAGTGTGAGGCTTGCTTCCTTGTACCTGAGCTGCCATTTCAAACATCAGAGGACGCAGCTGCTGAACAGCTGTGTGCACTTCTGAAGGAAGTGTCTGATACCACAAGCTGTCTGCCTTCCTTATCACAACATGAGTGAAACCATGTGATAGTGTGAGTGTGGAGGAAATGAGGACTCCTGATCCAGAAGATACTTGGAGGATGGCTGGAATGCAACACCTATCTAATCGTAGACATAGGTCTACCCACTGTGTAAGATTTTTAGGTTGTTAAGATACATAGGTATATTTATGAGCTATGTCTGTTATTGACGCAATCTGTTTCCTCTTACTATGACACAATACATGTAGACCCAAATCTTTATTGGGGTCAGGGCACTGGAGCAGGTTCACCTTGGCAAGTTCTAATTGGTGGGTTTAGAGCAAGAAGACCCAAGTTCTGTGGAGTCATGTTTTCACTGAGAGGTGGTCACTGGGGTATATCTGCCATTCCATGTAATATGGCTTACTTATAGTTGGTCCCCAAGAGTTCATGTGCAGAGGGCTTGGTCCTCAGTGTGATAGTGTTGAGATGGTAGAACCTTTAAGAGATGGGATACAACTAGGTATGGTGGCATATACATAGAATTTCAGCTGCTCAAGAGGATCATGATTTAGGCCAGGCTAGGAAAAGTTACCATGAGACACTATCTGAAAAAACCAAAAGCAAAAAGGATTCTGGTAAGTCCTTTTTGAATTGGTACAGTATTTGTCTAGCAAGCTTAAGGACCTGAGTTCAATCCTCAACACCATTAAAAAAACAAAAAGAATTAGGGTGGGTGCCTGCGGCTCACACCTATAATCCTGGCTAGTCAGGATGCAGAGATCAGGAGTATCTCAGTTCGAAACCAGTCTGGGTAAAGATGGAATGTTGGGGACCACTCAAGATCTAATGGGTAACTTGTTTGAGGGAATTTTCTGAGATGATGAGAAGGTTTGGTGCCTTATTTGGAGTCAAACACCTTTCTCAACATTTAAAAAATGTACACTTAACTTCATATGCTATATATTAAAGATTACTAGGGGGAGATAAAAATGAACATTATGAATGGGCTGCAGTGATGATTCTTACTAATCACTCCATGCTCCTTTGGCTGAATACTGAACAGATCTGAAGACAGAGATCATCTGTAAGTAAGCCCACTGTGGTTGGCTCTGACTGGTGACATACATTTTGAAATACTTTTGCCTCCACCTCATTCACGTCTTGCCAAATAGTAGAAAAAAATGTGTTTCTGTGTGTGTGCACACCATTTTAGGCATTCAGTATTTTATCAGAGCTCTCTTCACTTTGGTATCATTCTATCATTTCATACTCTCCCTCAAAAGCACAGCATTATTTGACAGAGTTTATAGAATGGATAAGGAGAGATTGTTAAAAGTAATGATTATCACTCCAAATTGCCAACATGTGCAGTTTCAGAGCCTCCTATGGCCCATTTATAACACAATCCTTCACTGTAAACAGTGAAAATACTACATTCAGTATTTTCCTTAAAAAATTTCAGAAACAAAGTAAAGTTCACAGAATTTTACAGAAACCATTTACCACCTCCTAGATTCTATTCCTGACATGTTATGTTACTGCTAGCACATCCTGAACAAGTGAACCCTTCAAACAACACAAAATGTTCATTGTAGATACAACAGTCTCCTTTTCATCAGTCACTGTCCCCAAGATATTGGTGAATCACAGTGGGCAGCAATCACAGCTCTTACACAGAGTGCGTGACCCAGATGCACTTCTCAGTCACCTCATCAACATGGACAGGTTCCTCCTGAGTGTCATGGCCTATGATGACTACACAGACATCTGTTGTCCACTCCACTACACCATGAGCATGAGGCCCAGACTCTTTCTGTGCCCTTCTTGTGGCCGTATCATGGGTCATTACAAACCTGCATGCTGTCAGACACACTCTTCTCCTACTTCACCTTAAATTTTGTTCCCACAGTGCTGTGTGCCACTTCTTCTGCGACCCCTACCCAATTCTAAAGCTCTCTTGTTCTGATAACCTTTGTCAATGACCTCATGGTCTTCACTGGGGGTGCACTGATATTTCTGACACATTTTACATACCTCATGGTTCCTATGCATACATCTTTTCTAATGGACTGAAGTTGCCATCTGTGCATGGGATACAGAGAGCCCTGTCCACATGTGGGTCTCACTTGTCTGTGGTCTCTCCCCTATGGGACAATCCTGGGTGTCTACATGTGACCTTCAAACTCCTACTCAGTCAGGATATGGAGCCGCTGTCATCTTCACAGTGGGAACATCCCGGTCAATCACTTCTATAGTCTGAGGAACTGTGACACAAAGGAGCCCTAAGGAAGGTAATTCACAAATCCTAGAGCAGAAAATTTGCAGCTGAGAGCACTCCTAGATATCCTACATTTCATCATCCTTGTAAAGAGAAAAACTGAGGCCCAGAGAGGTGCAAATTTCACCAGTGACTATTCCTGTAATTCGGGATGGGTTATCAAGATCATGCTTTATCTTTGACACTGAGGGATGCTCACAGTCATAAATGCCATAATTTCTTATTATAAAAAGGGATGATTCAAAGTTACTTATTTTACAGACAAGAAAAACTGAGGATCAGAGATATGTACATCTATTTTTTATACATGTTCCTACCAGCCCCCTAAGGAAAGGTGACACATTGCTCTGGAATTTGAGGACTTTAGAGCAGATTCTCCTCAGATTCACCCATCCCAGTGGACTCAGAGGATGAGATGCTACAGTGTTCAGAGTGATGGACACACAGAAAGGTCCTCTTTGCATGGGACAGACACCAGCACTGTCCTCAGAAGGTCCCTAACTGTTCTCTCTGAGGGCTGTTGTTCACTGTCATATTAGGTAATTCTTCCTTTGTCCCAGCTTAAGTCTTTCCCCTACATCTCACAGCTGAGAACTATGATGGTTTCCTACGTACTGGGCCCACCTAAATTGTTGGTGTTTTGTGATTCAGCTCAGGTTATGTGACAGGGATTAGGATCAGGAATCTTGGCTCATAGCTGTTCTTCACATGAACTCTTGGTGTCCCTTCTTGTTTACATGGACTGCAGGCAGGAAAGATTCTTCTGAAATTCAATTGTGTGCAGTCACTATAGCTCTTTAGGAACCTAAGGGCATGAAATAGTGGTAAGACTAAAATTGGAACCCAGGACTACTGCTCCAAGTCATAGTAACCTCTGTTCTGCTCTATGGGGACAAGTGCCCAGGATTCCAAGCCTCTTCTGCTCTTTCATACCTGAAGACTATGTTTCCAGAAGGTCATTTCCCACCTTGGTATGCAGATAGTGGTCACCTGTATTTCCAGTGGACCCCTATATACAGCTTTCAATTCACTTCCCTCCTTGCAAGACATTGTTCTGCTTCCTCAATCTTCTCAGCTTTCCTGTGTAATAGGTCCTCATGGTTCTCATCATCAACTGCTTCCAGACTTGGTCTTGCCTCACCAGTATTGCATCCCAGCTAGAGCCTTCTGCCTTGCCCTGTATATCTCGAACCTCAATGCAGATTCCCTTAATTCTCCTAATGCACTGACTGTGTCGGTCAAACAATTCTCATGCAAAAAATGGAAAAAACCAGAAAAATCTCAAATATTCGTGAAGAAGAAGGTCTGACACGATGTGGTCTCATTCTGTACTCAGAACTTCCTTTCTCACCAACTTCAGTGCTCATCTCTCCCAGCACAACTCTTGTCTCAATTGTCTTCCTCGATCTTTGCCCATTCTCTGCTCCAAAATTCCCATAATTCTATAAAACCCTAAGAATTGTGCATTTGTATCAACTCCTTCATTACTCAGAGCCTACATACATGCATGTCACATACCTCACAGGGCTTCTGTGCTGCGTGGATTCCCAGGACAATATACTTTATGTCCATGGCAACATGATTTTCATTTCCCACCTTCTCTGTCTTGATATCCAGATAGTTCCCTCCAACAACAGCTGAGTCTCATGCACACAAACACAAGGCAAGGTACTAGGAAAACAGACCCACTGAATCCTTCTGCATCCAACCAAGTTCAAGAGGGGAAAGTCCCTCTTCATCTCTCACACGCAAGTCTTTTCTCCCAGATGTGCTGTGAACTAGGAACAGAGCTAACCCATCTCCAGGATAGAAAGAGGAAGGAGGGAGATGGAAAGGGGAGAAGACAAATAGGTTTAGGAGTTCTAGGACTACTAACTGCAGGCTGTTAACTACCTTGCCTGGAGCTCAGACCAGGAGCCCCACTTCTTGCAAGCCCAACAGCAAGACACCTCGGTCAGACTGCAAAGCCCTCCTATTCTGAACCTCATCTTCACTTGGTGCCACTAGATTCCCTGTGTCCCTCTCAAAAGTAGTCCACTATCCCAAAATAAAGGAGCCTAAGGACTCAGCTACTTGGTGCTAGCCTGAGCCACACAGAGGGCTGCTGTATTCTACTGGACTCCAGGGACAAAGTGGATTTAAAATATCGTCCAGGGACCAAAACACAGTGAGGCAGACACATCAGATGTGGTCGTGCCACAGGCGGATGCTAAGTTATGTTAGAAATTTTATTCTCAAAGGAAAGATTTGAGAGGGGACAGACAGCCAATGCATTTTGAAAAAGCAAGAAGCAGAAAATGCACTTCCA